TTTTTCGGAACATATGTACATAGGAATATTGTTGGTGATATATCAAATGGCGAGGTTTTTACAAAAATTGCTGCTTTTATTTCACGTTTGATTTTACAAATTAAGAACACAACAAAAAAATAACATCTATTGATTAAACTTTTTCTTTTTTTCTATATAAATATCATTTTTGATGATTAAAATGATGAATATTTGATTTATTTAGGCGGTATTACATTTAAAAAATGATATATATCGAAATTGGTTAGATGAATCAACATTTGAAAATATAATGACTTCGTCATCATTTAAATATTTTGCAATTAATGGAAATACTTTATTTGCTATGAATGAATTACCAAGCAATGTTAATAATGGTTTGTTTTCTTTGGATTTTCTTTTAAAAATAAAAACTAGACACAATTTTCTATGTTCATTGAGAAATTTTCAAATTATTGAGAATATTTTTGATGAATATTTGTAAACCATTGAAAATCAAAAGAAAAAGATTTTGATGCAAGTGTACAAAACAAAATTGTATTTTCTTTTTAATGTATATGTATATGACAGAAAAGAAATAATAATCGATCTAAATTGATAAAAAAAATTCGATGATTGTTTGATAGGGCTAACGAGGAAATCGGAATTTGGTTCAAGTTTTAGGTTGAAATTCGAAAATTAGTGTTTCTAGTGTTCCTGATCGAGATTGCACCGTTAACTAAAAAAATACCGCAAAGATGCAGTGTCTCGGCAATAATAAGCTAAGGATCCGAACTCTTTTCAATGTATTCATAGCTCAATAGAATCTATATGATGCACATAGCCTCGGCTTAAAAGCAAAAAAGCAGGTCAGGTGCTTCCATTGTGAAAGTAAGACATTTCAGAAAAGGCGAAAAACAAACAGTTTTCACCTCATGCAGAATTAATAATCATTAGACAGTCTCTTGAAGGTTTTAACCAAAACAAACATGTCTTTCTTGAAATATTGAAATTTTCCAAAGAGGCATCAGTTTACTATAGAAAGATACAGTGATCAAGTCTCCTTGGAAATTGAATATCTCAAGAAAGACATGTTCATTTTGATCTAAATTTTCAAGATTATCTAAGGATTATTAAATCTACTTATAGACAGAACATCAGACCACAGTTATTTGTTCTAGGTTTTTCGGAAAAGTCTTATTCTCAGTAAAAGTTCTATTAAGATGGTCATAATATGAAATCAAACGTTGTTTGATACTAGAATAATTAAAAATCTCAAGAACGAAGATTGATCTATAATACTTGCTGGTTACATATGCATCTATATTTGTGATTCTTCAGAAAATATTTCGATTTTCTGAATGAACCTTTTAATTTTTTTTGTTTGTTTTCTTATTTAGGAATGCCAGCAATTATTCTTCTTTGTCGTGGATTATACGGCAAAAATGTTTGGACATTAAATTTTCGTCATAATCCTTTATCAAATCCACCAATACAATCACATAAAGTATGTAATCTCTGTTTCTTTTTTTCGTTGGGAAAAAGAAATTGTTTTTTTTTTCTTATTGAAGTCAAATGAACGAATAACAAATGAAAATGGTAAAAATCCTTCACCACGAACCAGCAACGTCAACATTGATTCAAAAGATAAAATTCTTACAACACACGGAACAAAAAATGAACGAACAAAAAGGTAAATTTACAAATAAATTTCCTGTATCTCTGAGAAAAAATATTTCAGTGATGCTTCTCGTCATAGCAGGTTGGTAATAATACTAAGCTAAATCTAATAAATCTATGAATATGATCTTATAAAGAAAAAAAGAGTTTTTTGCTTTCAGCTTTCATCATTCATCGTAAGTATAATATAATCATAATATTTCACTCAGCTTTTTCTATTGTTTGGTGATGGTAACTTTTTTTTCTTTTACAAAAAAAAAAGAATAATTATTAAACATTTGTCTTGATTTTATTGTGAAAAACAAAAGAAATAATGTTTTTTTCACAATAAAAAAATTTATTTTTCTTTTATCTTTTGTATTTTTTGTTTTAGTGAATTAAGTATTCCAACATTAAGTTCAATTATTAAACGTGATGAAGAAAAATTAAATTTATTTCGTACATTAAAAGTAAAACAAATTCCTATTGAAGAACAAGCTATTCAACGTGCTCATGTTTCCGATGAAAAATTATTCTCGGAATGCAAACCACCTGAGTAAATTTATTTTTCTCTAATCAAAAATTCTTTATGAAATTTTGGTTTTTTTTTTCAATTCGTTAGACGTCAAAAACATTTTGAAGGTATTCGTTTATTTTTATCACATTATGGATTTTGTTCATTAGATTCTATGGATTATCTTATGAATGGAAAACATTGGGTAAAAATCAAACAAATAATGTTCACTAAGTTTTAACTATTTAAAAAAAAAACATTTAATTTATTAAATTTTTAGAATGATTCTAAATCATTTGATCGTTTTCAATCACGAATTCAATTACTTAATTCTAATGCAGAAAATTTTATGGATGATATAAAAAAACTTGATAAAATATCGCCAACACTTTATTGTACAGGACAAATTTATTATTTAAAAAAAAATCAACATACACTTTTAGAATCATTTTCAAATTTGGTATTAAAATAAATCGATTAGAGATTGTTATTATTAAATAAAAAAGTGTATTTTTGTTTGTTAGAAAATCTTAGAACAATTAAATCCAGATTTTTTAAAAATGGTTTCACAATTTGGTTCTGTTGTTGAAGTTAAACGTCATTGTGGTTGGACAGGAAATCCAGAAACAAGTTGGAAAACAGTTCCTTTGACTCAATCAAGTAATTAATAAAAAAAAAAAAAACAATGAAATTCTATAAAATAATCTTTGTTTTTAATTAGGTACGAATTCAAAGACGAAAACACTTGCTGAAATTAATGGTCATGATAGTATTTTATATTGGATGAATTTAACAACAGAAATGGCTTTTTATTTACCGCATCATTTTTCTAGTAAATAGTTTGTTTGTTTTTTTTCATTAATCTTGCTTATGTGTTTGTTTTTTTTTCGAAATTATAGTGGATAATCAAAGTTCAGAAATGCGAATATTAATTGTTTGGTTAGAAGAATTTCGTGATGATCTAGATTCGATTCTACCAGGTTTGTATATTTTTATTTTCGAATGTTAAAGTTTACAGGTTAAATAAATATTTCAAATTTTGAATCGATCTTTTTCAAATGCAAAGACATTAAAAGGTCTTATACTTACAGCACTTTGCGTATCAAACACAGTAACGAGAAAACATATCCAATTGTTAATCATCGATGGGAGTAATATTTGACTTTTGAGTAGGCATCAGTGAGATCAGAAAAGTTGGAAAGGATTTCTCCTCATAGATCTTCCTTATGGAATTGTGACCGTTTTATTGAATTTTCATTTTGTAGCAAAGTATTCACAGAAAAATCAAAAAGAAGAAATTTTTATTCAATAATAGGACCTTTGATCCTAAGTATTTCCTGAAAGTTTCAGTCAAAGCAGATGATTCCTTCTCGACATATTGGATACTGAAGACAAATTAACTTTATGACTTTCTTTGTGGCATAGGATTGCTTTCTTTGAATATTTAATATTTCGAGAAAGAACCATTTGTTTTGATTTAAACTTTCAGAAAACACTCAGAATCAAGAGACCTATTCATAAACAAAAATTTCTTGTCTTTGATTGTTCTATGAATACCTTGCCATAAGTTGAAAATTCAATAAAACAGTCATAACTTCATACGGAAGGTCTATGAGAAGAAATTCTTTTAGATTTTCTCTAGTTTCACTGAGTCCTACTTGTGAGCAAAGCATTGCTTCAATCGGCCGTTAACAGCTTGATATGTTCTCTCGTAAGATGATATATACATTTATTATTCTATCCTTGTAAGAATTACTGCAAAAAGCTCGAAATATAAAATGTCGAATAAAATAGGATTTTGAATAGTTAAAATTTCCTCAAATCAAATCTCGAAAGATATCCTCTCATTAGAGCTCATCGAGTTAGCCTACGATCCGAATCCTGTTGGGTTCGGATTTGAAAACTTTGGACCCAACGGGCTCTAGTATGAATGTCGACGTGTGAAGATACTATTCAAATCCACATCCACATCCCAATCTCCTTAATTTACAATAAATGACCTTTTTATGATCAGTTTCTAATATCTGTTGTTTATAATGTTTTATAATTTTATTTCAAGAACAATCATTAAAACATCGAGATATTTCTATAATTGGTATACATCCTTTAAAAAATCATTTATTTCGTATTTCACTCAATTCAAGTGCTCAACGGTAAATATAAAATTTATCTATAAATAACAGTGGACAAGTTTTTTTTTTCTTTTTCTTACATTTAGAATGCAATCAGCATGTGCTAGTATTCCATTAATTGATGGAATGGTTCTACCTCGTTATATTTTATCATTTTTTCTTCGACAAGCTGTACATAATTTAAGTCGTCGAAAACGTTTAGAAGATAGTCAAAGGTTTGTTCTTGTTTTTTGTTTTTGTTTTCTAAATAAAATAACAAAACAATTTCCTTATTTTCTTTTTTGTTATAGTTCTCAAACTGCTTATTCATTACGAAAAACTCGAATAACAAAAATAATTGAAAAATATCAAAATCGAACAGATAATCTTGATGAATTTTTTCAAAACATATTCTTTTTATCAACAACAACAACTGATATTGAACCAACAACACAATCGAATTCAATAATAAATGTGCAATCATAAAAAATGTCAGATGCTCTTCTTACAAAAAAAAAAACTCGGTGATGTGCACATCTTATTCTTTATTTTTTTTCTTCTTCTTCTTCTTTTTGGACAAACGACAGTGATCTGTGCGTGTAGATGCTTTCATTCTTTTTTGACATGATTTAAAAATATCTTTTACTGAAAAATTATGAAATATTTAAAAAATATAAAACTGTGTGTGTGCGTGGTTTTTCTTGTTTTTTTTTCTCCTCTTATCGATTATTGCATCATCAGTTTTGTTTTCAGACTAAATGCGTTTGTCATTACACGAGTGGCGTAAACAGTTTACTTATTTTAAACGAAACAATTTTAAAGAGTTACAAAAAGTTCGTGGTATTGTTAATACGATTGCATTTTTTATTGTTTGGGGATACGCAGGTTATTTTATTGCCAATAGAGCTGATAAATCGGCGAAAGAAACAGGTATTCCACATAGTGTACAAGTTGCAAAATTAACAGGGAGTAGATATATTACCAAGTGGAATTTAAATACCGGTGAAAAAGAACAAATTGGTAAGAAATTAAATAAATTCATATAGTGCATTGTTTTTAATAGAAAATTCTTAATTAGAAAGCTATTTTGATTCAATCAATAGATATGATTATGTCAAATGTCATAGATTTGATTTAGAATATTAGTTGAATGCTTGGTTTTTTTTTTCTTTAGTAATTATTTCAAAGGAATTATGTGTGTAATTATTCAGAAACATTAGCTGATATGATATCAGGAATTTGAAGTCTTCCTGTGTTGTATGAGAACTGTATTTCATTCCAGAGGAGAAGATTCTGTGTAAATTTGAAGGATATCTGTTGGGACTAGTGAAACAGCTGCTGTTTTTACAATTGAAAAGATACAAAATAAAGAATGTTGGATGAAGGAACCCAATAAGAAAGTTCGCTATTGGTTGTTTTTAAAAATGCAACGATGACAATGCACCGGTTTTACGTAAAGCATTGCACTGATTTACAGATGTAATGTGGTGGAAAAATGTTTAACCACAACATATTTTTTGGATATTTTTTTCTATGATATTAAGCATTTAGCTAAAAGACAGATAGTGATTTTGATATGCTAATGTAGTTTTCTATTCAATGCATTCTGTAGATGCATTATGAATGTCAGGTTTCTAAAAACCCGGATGTACTAATGTTGAAGTATCGAAGCTATTTTTTAGCAATACCATTTTAAAGAGAACAAAATGAGGGATTGCTGCATTTCCCACAGCCTCTCCTTAACAAGTTATTAATATCGAAAAAATGAAAAATGCGTTTTTTTAGTAATGCTATGGTAAATTTCGCTTCGTGATATTTATAAGTTTGTCAGAGGACATCGTAAAAAATGCGATGACCCGTCATTTTGTTTTCTTCAAAATGGTATTATTAAGAAATAACTTCGACATATGAGAACTCCCGTTTTTGGTTTTCGAGAAACCTTGATATAGAATACACTAGATAGAAAACTCACTTGGCTATGAAAATCACTATCTGGATTTGAGCTAGCTGCTTAACATTTTAGAAAAACAAAAATCAAAAATATATTGCTGTTAAACTTTTTTCACCCCCACCTTACGTATATACTATACGGTGAAGATAGTGTGCATATGGTCAAACTATGATGGTCTTAGATTGATTTCGATTTTTTCGATCACAGAGGTCATTTCACGAAATTAGTCAAAGTTTCTAAAAATAGACTAAAGGTTTTCGGGGTACAGGAATTTGAATTCATAGAGGGTTTATCGAAATTTTCGAGTTCGATTTTCGAGTTCGACACAGACTTACAAGAAAATCATTCAAGATTTCAAATCGCTTTTCGATCGAGACAATATTCATTTGATGATTTCTAGAGAGTAATAGGATGTTTTGACTTTCTAAACCTTCGTACTCGCGACATGGAAATTTGACTAGGTTTTTCAACAAAACCTCTGGTTCCCTTCAGGTCACATGAAAAATCGACTTTCGACGTCAAACTTTGCATGAACAAAGTTCTTAATGAGATTAGTTCATTATGCCACTAGTATTTTCTTTCTGGAGATGTAAATATGTGAACAAAATGTGCTTCTACACATGAGAGAATTTCGAATATTGAATATATTAGGATAAGAGATAGTAGAAAAGTTACAACTTGTCCAATGAACTAATCTCATTGAGAACTTTCTTCATGAAAAGTTTGAAGTCGGAAATTCCACATGACCTAAGAGGCATCGCAGCTTTCTGTTGGAAAACTCAGTAAAATTTCGATATCTTGAGAACGAAGGTCTAAAAAAGAAAACCATTCTAGATTTTTCTATTACTCATCAAACGAACTTCATTTCGATCAAAAACTGATTTGACATCTGGCGAGATGCCCTCGTTAGTTCTCATGGTTTAGTCATATTTTATAAAACTCATGTGTTCACTGTCTTTGCCGTTGTATCCCTAAATTTGAAATTACTATCCTCATCAGTAAGTTAATACATGTTTTATGTAATCCATTTATTCTTAGTCAAACATGTCTTACGTTTCGTCCTTCTCAATAATAGAAACACAGATTGTCATCTCGTGAAAAATTCTAGTCACTAATTTTAATCGAATAGTATTGCTAGTGCCACTTCTCATAATACTGTAGTAAATAAACTGACGAGAAATTTTTTTTTAACATTTGCTATGATGATCATCAAACAGTGAATTATGTAAAATAAAAACTAACTTCTCTGTCCGATTTTTTTTTCTTTAGACGTCCATCAAACATTGGCTGAAAAAGAGATTGAAGCACGTAAAAAAGTTCTTGAACAACGACGTTTACGTGAAGAAGCTCGACAAGCATCATTAACAGCAAATTCAGAATCATAAAAAAAAAGCCCATTAAAAATGTCATCAAATATAAATTCTCAACTTATTCTTAATCTTGATACAACTCTTCGTAATGTTCTACAACAACCTACAATAAATAATATTCATTTATGTTTTTCTCTTATTAAACAATGTCATTATCGTCGTTTTGAAGATGAAAAAACTGTTCAAGATGATAATTTATATATACCAGCTATATTACTTCTACGACAATTTAATCGTTTTCAAAATCCATCAACATTTGATAAACTTCTTGAAGAATTTATATTATTATTTCAATTAATACCGATATCAACAAAAAAAATTCTTGATGATTTACTTTGTATAATTAGTATTATATTAACAAAACGTATAATGATAACAAATGATGAAGTTCAACAAGATTTATTTATACGATTTTTTCATTCATTTTGTTTATCAATAAAAACTAATTTAAATTTATTCTATAAAGAATTTTTAGGAAATTTTAATCAAAATTTACCTATTATTGGACATTATATTTCATGTTTACTTCAATTATATGAAAAAATTAATACACTTGATTATCGTATTAATATTATTAATACATTATGGTCATTAATATATATTAATAAAAATGAAAATGAGAATGAATTTCGTTTAATTATTGGACAAATTTTAGCTTGTTTTTTACCCGGTATATTAAAAACATTTGCACAAGATATTGGTTCAATACATCAACGTCTTGTTCATGCAAATCTTATTTTATTAAGTTATATTATTCGAATAAGTGTTAATCTTTCATCAAAATATAATTTTGAAACAAATTTAATGAAGGATGAACTTCGTGATATTGTTGTTGAAAGAAATGAACAATGGTTAAGTATTGTTGATACACATTTAGCTCCAATTTTACAACGATTAACAAATGATTATGTTAATCATGAAAGTTTAAATGTTCGTCAAGCACTTGCAAATTTTATGTTAACAATATTATGTTATTGTTCATTATGGTTAAAAATATCGGCAAATATGGCACTGAAAACAATGCTTGTAATTGTTTCATCAACAAATGAAGATCAAAAGGAAATTGAAATAATGAAAGTTTTATTGAAAAAATTATTTAAATGTGAGTTAAAATTTTTAAACATTCTAATAATGATAATTTTACGAAAGATATTTGTTGAGGATAGAATTAATTTTATGAATACTAGAAGATTTTAACTTGATGAAGAAATTTCCGAATAGATACCAGAGATGAGATTGGTTCAGATTTTTCAACACTTAAACCGAACTGCATGGATTCCATTTCTGATAGATACTCTATTGATATTATATCAATTGATTTTAAGGAAAGAAATGATAAGCGAATTTGCAAAACATACATAGACGGCATGAGAGAGTGTGTGTGCCGTCATATGATCATCTTCAGGGAAAGTATATTTTCAGTTTTCTCAATATTGCTCGTTTTCGAATGGTAATTTCATAGAATTCTTGAGTTCGTAGAATACAAAGGAAGAGGGACACGTATACATGTACATATAGCTAGGTCATGAAGAAAACTCTTAGCTATGCACATTAGAGAACTATAGGCGAGAGGAAATCAGTAAGAACTTCAGTCTTGAAGTCCACTGTTACCTCTCAGCTGCGGATCGTTCCGGTTAAGCCTCGAATCCAATAGGATTCGTATCTATATCCGGATTCAAGTTCAGATTCATGTCTGAATAGAGAAGAGCTAATGTCTGTTTACTCAGGTACGGTGTTTTAGCTACGATTCCACTTTAGATTGGTTATTTTCTACGAGAGGTGATAAGTAGCTGAAATCCTAATCCTTCATTTAATCATGTACACAGAAGATGTCAGATATTGATGAAAAGAACTCTGGCATAGGCTTAGTCGAGTCTGTGTTCACGAAAACTTGGACCTGCAGCTCCTTAATACACATCTGTCAGTGTTTTATCTAGCGTGCAGACCGAAGACGGCGTCCTTCTGTAGATCGGCTTGGTTCTGTCTGAATTTATTAATTATTGTACCATATACTCTGTATCTATGCTCCCAAATAGAGCTGTACATGATAGGTTCCAGATAAGAGGAATGTGCAGAACAGCTTGCAGATCAATCATTCTCTACCCTACCCTGCGGTATGGAGTGAAAAATTTTTTTTGAACACAGTACAGAGGACAAGCAAAGCTTACCTGATACATCTCTACTCCTAAAAATAGGTGTTCGTCCTTCTGAAATTTGAAATCAACCTTTCGGAAGAGAAAATTTGAATAAAACACTTCAAACTATTTAAAATTTTTGAAGACAAACTTTAAAATCTTCCAAAACGATGTATTCGATTGAAAAAGCAACACATTCTTAGTCGTAGATTAATCTCAGTCAACGTAAAGGCCAGTATTATATAGAAAACAAAGAATATTTATCCTACCATAAACATAATGACAATATAAATAGAACAATCAATGTGTTTTTTCTTATTTTAGTGCCGATCGAATCATTACCCGTCATATTATCTCAACCATCGTCATCAGAATCATCTATTCTTACATATGAAACTGAATTTATAAATGAAATTCTTAATTCATCAAATATAATTCTATCCGATCATTTATTAATCGAATGCCAAGCTGATTTATTTCAATTACTTGAACAACAACAACAACAACAAATATCTTCATCATCAATATTAACTGATCGTCGTTGGCGTTTACAATTATTTATTGGTTATTATACATTTATTCATAGTCATATTGATTTTCTTTTTGATATGGATGCATTTACTGATAAATTATTTCGTTTTATTTTAAATACACTTGATTTTAATACATTAATACGAAGTAATCTTAATCTACTTAATGAAAGTTCATTATCAAATACTAATAATACAACGAAAAATTTTGATTTAAATGAATATAATTCAGTTTATAAACATTTAAAATCAGATGTACATTATGAAATCGAACAAATAATTAAATTATTTACATCATCACATTCAAATTTTATTGATTATTTATTTGAACAAATTAATCAAAAGAAAATTATCAATGAAAATAATCAAAAAATATTTTATCTTCTTTCAATTATATTTGAAGAAAAAAATTTGAATAATTTTGAAGATTATCAAGTACTTTTATCATTACTTAGTCAATTAATTTGTGATGATAATTATCAAAAACCAACAAAAAAAAGAAAAAAAAGTCATTTGAAACAAGGTATTTGAATTAAACCTTAAATCATTTTAGTGAAAAATAGATAAACATAAATCCACTAGCATAAAATAACGAAGCTTCTAAACTCGAATTTATTTACTATAGCAGACTTCGTAAATTTTAAACTTTATTAGTTTAATATCACATACCTATAGCATATGGCTTACTATTCGAAAAAAATCAAGAATCTAATAAAAGTTATTTATGACTACGAGACTTTCTAAAGTGTATATAGTGTAGAAAATAGT